CATCTTCCAAAAACAACTGAAACCCTACCTCTTCAAAGAGTATCTTAAATAAGACATCTTAGTCTTATCCCCCCCCCATAAAAGAATGATGCACTTGTCTTTTCCTAATAGCACTGACTTTGCTGATAACTTCTGTATTGAGGAAAAATGTACTTACTACAGTGGTTTTCTCACCTATCTTAAGATGAATACACTTACTGTAAGTTGCTTTGGATAAAAGCATCTGCTAAATTACACATTTTTTATGTAAATGAAAATGTTGAGTTCTGGGCCACAACACCTGACCCCCTGTTAAAACACTGAGGTTGAAGCCCCCAATGTCAGATAGTCCTAAATCACAACAGTGCAGCCCAGCTTGGTAAACTTATGTGGAAAATTAACGCTATGTAGGTCACCCTACATGCGTTGTCCTTTGCGTAAATCAAAGAGATTAAATAAAACCCTGGTTTTATGAGCAAAACAAGGGGCCGAAAATGGCGGAAAAAAGGGGCACTAGCCAGTAACCAATGTATATGGACGGATAAAATACAGTCATCATCTGCCAGGCTAACAACAGCAGGTTATAACCCACTAGGCCAAAACTCGTTAAACGTGTTAATTATGTCTCGTTAGCGGTTGGACAGTTTAATTAGGGTATTAAACATGAGAAGGAGAGGGGCTAGGTTGGAGGTGGTGAGAAGGATCGCTGCATAGCTCCAATACACTATTCCAAACGCGGCTCACTCCTGACATTTCACCTGATATGAGTCATTAATGGTGTGTGCTTGTAAAAGTATGCTGAATTATGTGTGTGTGAGAGTGAGAGAGGGGAGTGGGGGGTGCGAGAAAGATAAATGCATTTGAGGTATATTTAAAATGTATTTTCTCGTGGCCACAACATCAGATCCCATGCTATCTAAATTGAAACCGATCTGTCTTGTATTTTGGCTCAGAGTTTCATTAATAGATATGTATTAAATGTTGACATACAATTTTACAAGACACATAAGGTGCTAGTCTCTCATGGGCAAATTAATATTAGCATCCAGTAACTACAAGCCTGTTAATGGACCTTGCAAAAGACTAGTGCAGCCTGGCTCTTTGTGGCTGGTAAGACGCTTCATGAGGGTGGTCACGTGTGCTAGCAAGGCAGAAGTCCCAAGTTCGTGCCAGGTATGGGCCGAATAGGGAGGAAGTGGTACTCGCTAAGCAACGTGACATCCTTGACACTCTCAAATATCATTTTAAATAATAAAGGATGACATAACAAAGTTACTTTAAAAAAATGCTATGCAGTCACGTCCTCCTGAAAGATACTTTTATAATATGAGTTGGATTGAAGTGTTTCAAATATATTTTCAGAATTAATGGGGCTCTATGGTAATACTGAAAACACCTAAATCAAATACGTAAAGCGAAATACAGCACATTTATCCAAAAACTGTTTTGCAGAATCGACTACAACCTAGGTAAGTGGAATTGTGTTTTGAGAGCAACATCCTCTGCCACAACTAACCACTGCCACCGATCAATAATATTAACATTTTCTAATGTAGGTCAATGTATGTCCCCAGTTAGCATGCTTCAAATTTCATGTCCAAATAATCTCTGAAAGGAATTGTTTAGTTCAAATTAAGATACATTTGGATTATTTGTGCATGAAATGTAAAGCATGCTAACTGGGGGACATTGACTTACATTGGTTTTGGTTAGAAAATGCTAATATTAGCGGTTGGTGGCAGTGGCTAGTTGAACACAACCAAAGTGTGGATTGCAGTCTTTTCTTGTGCATACAGACAGCGGACTTAGTAAACAAATATGCTAATTTCCAATTTGGCTGAATTATCCCTTGGATGTGAAAAATGTAAGGATATTTGACACTGAGCTTGGTCCAGACCCTCTTGGTATTTTCAGAGTATGTCATCTTCAAAGTATTGACAGACTAATAGCATAGCAAGTCCCATTCCTCAGAACTATGAGTACATGTGCATGAGCCACGTGTTGCCAATTGATCAGTTGAACGATATCCAGGGACAGGTTGGGGAATGGAGAGAGATAGATGAGGCTCAGTGGACGACTGTACTTGTTCTCATTTTTCCATCTCTCTCATTACTCGTGTTATCCATCCATATCCCTCTATCGTTTTCTCTGTCAGCAATGCTAAAATCGACAAGCCATGGAGAGATTATGCGCACTACTCTCTCTCGTCTGCCTGGGTCATATCAAGGCAGCAGGTAGCCTAGCTGTTAAGAGCATTGGGCCAGTAACCAAAAGATCGCTGGTTTGACATATTTTTTCCCTGTCAAGGAATATAGAAATGTAAATGTACCACTTCAAATATTAATTTCCTAATTTTTGTAATGTCTTTTGTATTTTGGGAAGCCATGTTTTCTATCACCTTTGACATACACACCTTGAAGGCAAAACAATTTGTCTATATTTTAAATGAACAGCTGAAATAACAACAAAATACAAATCTAACTTTCAGACATCATATGTGCCCATGTTCCCCTGACCGTGTTGTGTCAACTTGGTATTTGTATTTGTGACGAATGTGTCTGGTCTGTTAACTTCTCAACCTCTCGTGCTTCAGATAATGTCAGGTAGTTTTACGTGGGAATCGGCGTCTGCCTGTGTTTGCTTTCAAGTCACTGGTAGGGTATGTAGGTGTGAGTAGATGTATTGAGGCTGGAGTGGCAAGTCAAAAGCAGAGCATGTACAAAGCAGTTCAAAGTGGCTCCGTGCTGGTCAGCGTTGGGCTGTCCCCCTAGTGGTACATTTAATGTAAACGTTCATCTTCAAATATTAATATCCTCATTTTTGGAATGTCTTTTGTAACACCTTTGACATACATACATTGAAGTCAAAACACTGTCTACATTCTCATGAACATCTGAAATAATAACAAAATACAAAACGTCATATTTTGAGATTTAAAAAAAATGACAAACTAAAAACACAATTACTTTAGTTTTTTTTTTACCCTCTTAATTAAAGTCTAACCTTTTCTACCATGCATCATCCATAAGATGTACAAAGACACACGACTACCTTTTAAGGTTTTTATTGTCACTTTCACGTTATGATAAGTAATGACGACCAAGGCAATAAATCATAAGTATGCGTCTGGTGACATTACAGTAACTATGGAATGACAGAGCCATGTGAAACCATGTTCTGGGGAAGGTAAACAAACACTTTTGACATGAGGCAACTTAGTCATTCAATCCCAACAGCATTCATCAATATACAACAGTACATCCTCGACACCAATAGCTGCAGTTGTTACACATTCATATTATACTATGTTAGACAATCATCATTTCACAGCTTGGTTGCCAGATTGGTTTCTGCGTTGGCTATTGATAAAGGAGTAGGCAGACACAGATCTGGCATCCCAGGCTACATATTTAATACAAATGAAACATTGAAAAGCACTTTTGCACATATCATTAGTTTTACACCTATGTACTTTTAATTCCAAGTATAGATTTTTCACCCATTTTCATCCAATGTGCACTACATCAAAACTACCTACTTACAAATGGACTGTAGAGGGCTGTGTCAAGTCATCTGCAGCAAAGTGAACACAGATATATGCTCTTCACTCTTTAAAAAAGGCCAAGTGTGAGGCAGTCAGTACAATGGAAACCGATAAGTTCATCAATATGAGCCCTATTCCGGTTCTCCCCCTTCTCCCAAAATTAGCCTATTGTTTGCATGCAATCATAAGGAATATGGTAGATTCCCTCCAGCCAATGCATACACTAATCCAATGCTTTTAAATCATTGAGGGGGAGTGAACGATTGCCCACTGAGGAGAACAGAGGCGAAACAGAATTGAGCGAGTGTCTGAGCAATTCCTTTTCACTTAAGACGATTCATTACTACGAATGCTGTTCCCTATTATGATCAGAAGAAAACCCTACGGGAAAGGATGTCTTTCCCTATGGGTTCCCCTCTTTAAATCAAGCATGTCGTGATGTTTAGGTAAACATTAACAAGGGGCGCTGGGAAGAGATTTCTGACGTACCGATTCCATGGCATAGTGTTTATGAACTGATACGCAAAACGACGCCGGATTCAAAACTTAGAATTGTTCTATTTAAATTATTATACAAAATTAATGCTACCAATACAATGTTATTTATATGGGGGATACAATCTTCCCAGCTCTGCAGATTCTGCTGCGAAGAGAGACTCATTAGATCATTTGTTTTGGTACTGTCCATTTGTGGCTGGTTTTTGGTCACAGGTCCAGGAATGGCTGAAGGATTGCAATATTTACCTGGAGCTAACCCTGCAGATAACACTACTGGGTGGTCTGAAAAGTCATAGTAAATCGATCAATAATATAATAATACTTTTAGCAAACATGTTTATTTTCAATTTACAATCTGTAGAAACAATGAGAATAGAAGGGTTCAGAACTTTTGCGAAACATCACAGTACAGTTGAAAAATATATGGCAAATAGAAATCCAATATGGATGGTGTTAAGAGATAGATGGGAGGTGTTGAATGGAGCTGAAGGATGGGACTAATAACAACTAATAACAGCAAGATAACTAATGTAGGGCATGCTGTGTCCATAATAAGTATATAGGTTATAGGTTGAGAGCTTTTGTGAAGGAGCACAGTTGGAGAGATATGGCATATAGAAGCAAACCGGATGGACATCATGAAAATGATCAGAGAGGTTGAGGGTAGAGGAAGTTCAGGAGTAAAAACAAACAAAATAGAATTACTGTAAAATTGACTGTGTCCATTAAATGTATATAGTATGTATACGCTGGAAGTAGAAGCCTAAGCGTTGTTGTTCACTAGTTCACTCCAATTAGGGAAGGGGTGGTGGGGTTGGAAAGTAATAAAGGGAAATATATATTTTTAAAGGATATATATATATATGTATATGTGTTTATAGGTATGTATGTAGATATATATATATATTTGCGAGAGAAAAAAAACATGGGGGATTGGAAGTGATGCAGACAATTACATTGATGGAAGTTACAATCTATCTGCAATATTAAAGCTGATCTACCTTAAAATAAAACAAGAGGGCGCTGTTGCCGGGTAAAAAGCAGTACTGTAAAATTGCTGCTACTCTGGTGAGAACAGGAAATTGAAGATCCTATCATCATAGCCCTTAGGAGATATTGAAGACCTCCTACCATAATCCTCATATGACCAAATATTGAATATTTGCATTATTACCCCTAATATTACTTTTTGATTATTATTTTTTTACTTTGGGAGGAGACTATAGTGTACATCCATTCATAGATTTGATAAAGACTTTCTAGAAGTACATGGTGTTCTTTGTCTCTTGGAAAGTTTGCTTTGATTGTGTTGTAGCGACGGAGGGAGGCGGTGCGTTCAGTGATGGAGACAAATGAAAAAGGCGATGACGTGGACTCAAAACTGGCCCCAATTCGGCGTGTGCTCTTGTCGAGATGTTGGAGGGAGCGAACTGAAGATAAAAATACTATTTTACAGGCTGATTGACTCATAGCAATACTGGTGTTACAGTATATTAAGCATATATAATCAGTATGTCATAGCATAACAAGAAAAAGAGCTAAAATAAGCTCCGTCACAGACAGTTCTAACAAGTTACCTTGCAGGAGAGGAGAAGTCTCCCCAAAGATCACTGTTGGGGTTGGATGATTGGACCACAGTGTTGGAGTTACTATTGTCCAGATCTAGCAAACAGCCTAGAGAGAGAGAGAAACTTCTGAAACGTTTCTGTGTTTATGTTAACTGTTAATTTGTGATTGCCAAAGCAAGTGAAATAAACAATGTTAACATATGTTTCCCATTCCAATAAAGCCCCTTTGAATTGAATTGAATTGAGAGAGAGAGAGACGACAGAGAGAGAGAGTATGAACAATCAAAGCTACACTACATGGCCACTACATGCTCGTCGAACATCTTATTTCAAAATCATGGGCATTAATATGGAGTTGGTCTCCCCTTTGCTGCTATAACAGCCTCCACTCTTCTGGGATGGCTTTCCACTAGATGTTGGAACATTGCTGTGGGGACTTGCTCCCATTCAGCAACAAGAGCATTAATGAGGTCGGGCACTGATGTTGGGCGATTAGGCCTGGCTCGCAGTTGGCGTTCCAATTCATCCCAAAGGTGTTCAATGGAGTTGAGGTCAGGGCTCTATGCAGGCCAGTCAAGTTCTTCCACACCGATCTCGACAAACCATTTCTGTATGGATCTCGCTTTGTGCACGGGGGCATTGTCATGCTGAAACAGGAAAGGGCCTTCCCCAAAAACATTTGCCACAAAGTTGGAAGCACAGAATCGTCTAGAATGTCACTGTATATTGTAGCGTTAAGATTTTGCGTCACTGGAACTAAGGGGCCTAGCCCGAACCATGTAAAACAGCCCCAGACCATTCATCCTCCACCAAACTTTACAGTTGTCACTATGCATTGGGGCAGGTAGCGTTCTCCTGGCATCCGCCAAACCCAGATTAGTCCGTCGGACTGCCAGATGGTGAAGCGTGATTCATCACTCCAGAGAACGCGTTTCCACTGCTCCAGAGTCCAATGGCGGCAAGCTTTACACCACTCCAGCAGACACTTGGCATTGCGCATGGTGATCGTAGTCTTGTGTGCGGCTGCTCGGCCATGGAAACCCATTTCATGAAGCACCTGACGAACAGTTTTTGTGCTGACATTGCTTCCAGAGGCAGTTTGGAACTCGGTAGTGAGTGTTGCAACCGAGGACAGATGATTTTTATGCGCTATACCCTTCAGCACTCGGCGGTCCCGTTCTGTGAGCTTGTGTGGGCCTACCACTTCGCGGCTGAGCCGTTGTTGCTCCTCGATGTTTCCGCTTCACAATAACAGCACTTACAGTTGACCGGGGCAGCTATAGCAGGTCAGAAATTTGACAAACTGCCTTGTTGGTAAGGTGGCATCCTTTGAGAGTGCCACATTGAAAGTGACTGAGCTCTTCAGTACGGGCCATTCTACTGCCAATGTTTGTCTATGGAGATTTCATGGCTGTGTGCTCGATTTTATACACATGTCAGCAACGGGTGTGGCTTAAATAGCCGAATCCACTATTTTGAAGGAGTGTCCACATACTTTTGGCCATGTAGTTTACCAATCACAGCTTTATTTAACTATAGAGAAGTTTATCAAGGCTTTTTGTTTTAACTGCTGTACCGTTATCTGAGCCTCCTGTTTGAGGCACTGTGTTTTGATTGGAGAAAGCAGAGGAAGGAGGAGGAGCTATCTTTCCTTTCCGTGGTGGCGGTAGGAGACCGAGCCCACCTGACCCCTGTGGGCGTGGCTTATCCCTCTTTTTGCCTTGCTTGAAGAGAGAAAGGAAGAGAGAGAAAAAAATAAAGATTGAAATTGGGTGTTGAGTAAAAGTCAAATGGCCAATCCCAAACAGACCCCAGGAGCAAGGGCTAGTTATACAATTTCTATAAGAATGATCTAGTTCAATTGTGCCAGGTCTTTACCCCAATATTAAGGGTGATGGTTTGTCCGTCTTTAAATCCCAAGTCCAGCTTTGGTCCCAAAGCAGCCCCCTGAGGGTTTTTGCTGATCTCATTCTCTTGTTTCACCCACCTGTAACACACACACAATATCGACTTAATATGCACTGACACTGGAAAAAGTAATGTTACATCAGCTGTTTTGAAAACTGCAGCATCTGGAACAAGCAAACTCAATGACACGTTGTTTTGGCTGGCAACTTATGCTGCAAACAGACCACAGTAGGTGTGTTTGTTATTAGTGGGAGATGATGAAGCACCAGTGTTTGAGTGCCTTGACAGTCACACTGTCCCTGGAGTGACCCCTTCCATTACTTACTTAAAGTGGTCCTGCAAAGACACGTTGAAGTCAAAAGAGTCCCCTCTGTCCCCGAATCCAACACCAATAAACGCACTGCGGCCTGAGAGAGTAGGTTGACATAGCTGTATGAGTTCATTGACATTGAGCTGACATAAGTGAAGAGTGAATTGACATTTGAGGAGAGCTGACAAACTCTATGAATGCACTGTGATCCGAGAGAGGATGTTGACATAGCCTGCTAAAGGAGGCTGACATAACACTATATGACTTGTGTAAAAGGCTGACATAGCTATGAATGCACAGTGAGGGGCTTTCACTCAAATACACACCATTGTCATCCTGTATTCGCAGGACAAAGTAGCGACTGGAGTCGCTTACGGTTTCAACTGCGATGCCGGGATACTCTGTGACAGGGGCCTGGGCGAACAGCTCCCCTGCAGGATGGGATGAGAAAAACACAATCGTAATTATAAACCACACAGATATGCTGTATGAAGTTCATTTTACTGGCTACATTGAAAGGGTCCCTGACAAGCAATGTTGGGACAAAGGGGCACCTGTGCAACACACACACACACAATTTCATGACTCTCTCACCTGAGACTTTGTCTTCCAGTTTGATGTAGGCCACTTTCCCCTTGGCCGTGATCCGCATGCGCCCTGACCAATCGGGCACATCCAGCTTCCAGTCTGCTGCCCTACAGGAAAGACCCAGGTCAGAGGTAACCAATAACAGGGCAAAACAGGGAGTACGTCAGAAGGTCAGTAAACAGTGCCTATTCAAACTGTTCTCTGACCAGCTTTTGTAACAAATAGTACGGTACAATATGGAAAGAATTCTGAATTGACCCAATTATCTTGTTCTTATAATGCCTGAAGGCTGAAGCAAGACTATTATTAAGATCACAAACCCCAATTAATAGCATAAGATAATTTATGGTTTTAGAGAATGTCAATTAAAACCATTTAGCCTACAGTTAACTGGTCCACACACATATAGGCCAATAGGTCAGACTGAAAACAGTAGTCTGATGAAACTACTTTTATTTTTCCCTGGCAGCTAGCACTGTTGGTTTCAGATGCCTTTAATAGACAATGGTTTCATTATTTGAGCAATTCTGTAATCAATTTTACTATCACAATAGGACTGTTGTAGAATGATCGGGAACCTTGTATTATAGGCCCAAGTATATAGGGCTATTTATCACCTAATATACATTCATATAACATTTGCTGTCAATGCATTCTGCCAATACATTCTCTGGTTAAACTATGCTGATAAACAGCACACGCAAATACACATATCATGCCATTCACTGTCAATTCATCCGCACTGATAGTGCCAGCTTTGCGAGAGTAACATCAATATTGCCAATGGGGCAGAATAATTAGTGAGTCGTAGGCCTACGCAAAACAAATTAGACACACATCGACAGCTGTAAACATCCAGATAGATAGGCACACACACACAATGCACCCAGATAGAACCACCAGCACCGCGGTTTTTGTCCAACACCCCAAATATGGCCAACCCTTTGCATTTACCTGTATCCACGATTTGTAGCCCTCGGTGGTATGCGATAAACGTTGACGTCGGGTTTAACGCAAAGGATCGACTCATATTCGCCCTCGGTCGCCATCTTGATGTAAATTAAATTGACGTGTGGCTTATTTATCGGTCCTTTCGGTTTTTGCGAGTGTGCTATACACTCACAAGCCACGAGACGGCGATGACGTGAAGGGGATTCCAGAGCAGAGTTTGTGCTCCATCAATGGATGAATTGACCCTGCGCACATCCCCCAATGCTTTAAGGCAGCATTCCCCTTCCAATAATATGTATGATATGCATAGATGTTTACGCACCCATATATGGCATTGGTAATTATGACAAACAGCTGTTTATATATACTTTTGAGACCCAGAAAATGCTCTATAAACACATAAACAGGCAAGACTGCTCCCAATAATAATCAGTTAATTTGTGGAAAAACAAACAAGTATTTTGTTTCAGTCTCAATAGAGACAATGTTACATTGTTGCCACATTGTTTAATTTTATTGACAACAATGTAACATCCTCGTGATTATTATGTAGGGGAGTGGTCTTTTAGACAGGTCAGGTTCAGAGTGCAGATGAAAGCGGAAATTGTAGTTCTTTGCAGATCCCTGATAGTATCCCGAAGGTTCGTATTCCTTTTAAATAAATGCAAAATCATATGAAAAATGGATGCTCAATGGAAGCATGTTATCATAAAGTTGTCTGTTGTCCTTAGAAGTAGACCAAAGCTATATTTTCAAAGCTGTCGTTGTCATTAGACGGCTGTCATTGTTAGCTAACTGGTTAGCTTGCTTGCTACGCTGAAGCTTGGTTGAAAAGAACATTCGACAGCCATGAAGACGCACTGACGTTGGCTAGCTACGGTAGCTGTCCATGGTTCTGAATCGTTATGCAGACAGTAGCTCACATTTACATTTTAGTCATTTAGCAGACGCTCTTATCCAGAGCGATTACAGTTAGTGTGTGCATACATTTTCATACTGGCCCCCCGTGGGAAACGAACCCACAACCCTGGCGTTGCAAGCGCCATGCTCTACCAACTGAGCTACATCGGACTACAGCTTGATTGATATATCGCAATTACTGTTCTTGACAAGAAGAATATTGCCAAATAGCATGCTAATTCGACAGTAGCCTACTCGGGTGCATAGCTAATCTGTAGCACTGTAGATCATGGATTTGTCGGCATAGCGTTGGCATTGCAGTATGCTTACTGGCCACTAAACTAGCTTAGCTTTTTGCTAACATGGAATGGCGTTGATTTAGTCACAATCATGAGGATTTGGCATTTTCTGTTTGGCATTTACATTTAAAAACACAAAGCTAGCCATTGCATAACTGGGTGATACAATGTGTTGCCCAATGGCATGCCAATGTGAAGTAGCTTCTTCAATAGCCTATAGCTATGTCATTGCTTTGGTCCATTTTAGGATTTTTTTTCCCAGATCTGTGCTGTGTGCTGTGACAATGTCGTCGTGGAGAGAGAGACTAACAGAATGAGCATCCAGTGAGACCAGATCGAAAGAGAGACTCACTTCTTTGACATCATCCACAATCAGTTTTATTTCAATAGGGAAGCTGAGGTATAAGCAGCATGATTTGGGCTAAGTGCCAAGCAACTTCTCCTGTGTTACAGACACCTACATGTCTGGTGTTGATACCTGCCATTATGCGAGGCAAGACAGAAGCGTCATGGTTGATATATGAGTGAAAGCTCTGTCTTCTTCCGTTGACTGTGTGTGTGTGTGTACATGCTCTTACTAGTCTTTATACTGACTAGGTCCTTGTGGTTTGAGACACCCAATCAGGCGCCATGACGTCCTCTATGCTACGCCGACAATTGAAGAACCTTGTTCAGAACTTCTCTGAGGCTGAGGTCAAGGTAAAGGAGATTATTTACTTTCCCCCTTTCCTTTCCCCTTCGCTCTCTCTTTTCTTGCTCTCTGTCCTTTGTTCTGAGACTTTTGTCTCATCTTCCTCTCACTCTCTGCAACTTTACATTGCTTTTTTACCTTCACTGGTCATCCCCAAAGCCAACACCTCCTTTGGCCGCAATTCCTTCCAGTTCTCTGCTGCCAATGACTGGAACAAATTGCAAAAATCTCTGAAGCTGGAGACACTTATCTCCCTCACTAACTTTAAGCATCAGTTGTCAGAGCACCTTACCGATCACTGCACCTGTACACAGCCCATCTGAAATCAGCCCGCCCAACTACCTCATCCCTATACTGTTATTTATTTTGCTCATTTGTACCCCAGTATCTCTATTTGCACATCATCTCTTGCACATCTATCATTCCAGTGTTAATACTAATTGTAATTATTTTGCACTATAGCCTATTTTATTGCCTTACCTCCATAACTTGCTAAATTTGCACACTGTATATTATATGTATTTCTGTTGTATTTTTGACTTTGTTTTGTTTTACCCCATATGTAACTCTGTGTTGTTGTTTTATCGCACTGCTTTGCTTTATCTTGGCCAGGTCGCAGTTGTAAATGAGAACTTGTTCTCAACTGGTTTACCTGGTTAAATAAAGGTGAAATAAAAAAAATAAAAAATAAAACATACTTCCCTTCATCTTCACTCTATCCCTCTCTTTCTCTCCTCTTAATGCTGTACCAACGGTGGGTAATTTTACCCTGCAAGGGCCGGTGTGGGTTCAGACTTTTGTGCCAGCCAATTAGTAGCATACCTGATTCAACTGATCACAGTCTTGGATCAAGGCTTTAATTTAATACAATCAAGCTAGTACGGCTTGGGTGGGGCAAAAGCCTGCATCCACACTGGCCCTTGCAGGGTAAGAATGGCCACCCCTGCTGTTCAGTTGACACTGTCAGCATTCTAAAGTACCTTTGCAGCATCGTTCTAAAATAAGACACACACTCTGTAGCAGAGCATGGGTCAGTACTCCATCTGTTACCCCTATCTGTAACACCAGTGACTCTATCGCCAGTATTTTCCTAAAATGATATAGTACAAGTTTGGTGCCAGAAAGCCTGGATGCTTTGGGAGCCTTTGTTCTCCGTCTGGAAAATAATCTGTGTTAACACTGCTGTATTTCTGTCAGGTGAGGGAGGCGACCTCCAATGACCCCTGGGGCCCCTCCAGCTCGCAGATGGCCGACATCTCGGACCTCACCTACAATGTGGTGGCCTGCAATGAGATCATGACCATGCTGTGGAAACGCCTCAAAGACGACAAGAACTGGAGGCACATCTACAAGGTGAGGCCAAAAGGGGAATAATCACACATATATTTATAGTTCGAAAGATTTAGATTGTGTATACAATAATCTAATCTACAGATGTACATCTTCTCATCATAACATCAAAGTTGTTCATACTGTATGGCTCACTGGCTGTATGCATACTTTATTCTTTATTATGAAACTTTATTATGAATAATTGATGAGCGAGCACAAGTTGCTTGAAAAGCCTGCTGAACAGCTCAGTTCATCAAACAGTGCTGGATAGAACCACGCCTCTCTCTTTTTCCGTCACATCAAATTATTTATTAATCTTTGGTGGGGTGGATTGCTATAATGCATTGGGATTGAGTTACTGGTATCAATCACTTGAGTGTGGGTACCTTTCAGAGACGTCAATGTCGATATCAAGCCTTTGTGCTTTTTGGTGCTTTTTTATTTCTGTTCAGTCCATGCTTCCTGTAATATTATCTTCTCTTAATTGGGTTGGTTGGAGTTTTTTTAGAGAGCTTTGTAAAACTGTAGCCAATATATTTAAAAAAAACATTATTCCTCATACTGTGAAAATATTGTCTTTATTTTATTTTACACTTTCTTCTTCATTTTGTTTATTTTTCCACAAACCAGATGCAAATACATATACAGTGAGGGAAAAAAGTATTTGATCCCCTGCTGATTTTGTATGTTTGCCCACTGACAAAGACATGATGTCACGAATTCCGCCGAGGCTGCTCCTCCTCCTTGTTCGGGCAGGCTTCGGCGTTCGTCGTCCCCGGAGTACTAGCTGCCACCGTTTGATGTTATCTATGTTTGTTTGGTTTTGTCTGATTAGTGCACCTGTTCCATATCACGTCTTGATTATGTCACCTATAAGTTTCCTTTGGTTTTGTTTGTAGTTGTGTGTCGTTGTACGCCTGTCTGTTGGTGTAGGTTATTTTGTTTGCTTATAGTTAGTGCTGTTCGCACTTTACGCACTGTTTTGCTTATTCGCTCGCCTCCTGTTTATGAGGCCCATTTGGATTGTATTTTGCTCCTGTGACTATTAAAGTCGGATCGACTAAGCTTCTGTGTCCTGCGCCTGACTCCAACACCACATCCACATCAGCCCTTGACACATGATCAGTCTATAATTTTAATGGTAGGTTTATTTGAACAGTGAGAGACAGAATAACAACAACAAAATCCAGAAAAAACGCATGTCAAAAATGTTATAAATTGATTTGCATTTTAATGAGGGAAATAAGTATTTGACCCCTCTGCAAAACATGACTTAGTACTTGGTGGCAAAACCCTTGTTGGCAATCACAGAGGTCAGACGTTTCTTGTAGTTGGCCACCAGGTTTGCACACATCTCAGGAGGGATTTTGTCCCACTCCTCTTTGCAGATCTTCTCCAAGTCGTTAAGGTTTCGAGGCTGACGTTTGGCAAGTCGAACCTTCAGCTCCCTCCACAGATTTTCTATGGGATTAAGGTCTGGAGACTGGCTAGGCCACTCCAGGACCTTAATGTGCTTCTTCTTGAGCCACTCCTTTGTTGCCTTGGCCGTGTGTTTTGGGTCATTGTCATTCTGGAATACCCTTCCACGACCCATTTTCAATGCCCTGGCTGAGAGAAGGAGGTTCTCACCCAAGATTTGACGGTACATGGCCCCGTCCATCGTCCCTTTGATGCGGTGAAGTTGTCCTGTCCCCTTAGCAGAAAAACACCCCCAAAGCATAATGTTTCCACCTCCATGTTTGACGGTGGGGATGGTGTTATTGGGGTCATAGGCAGCATTCCTCCTCCTCCAAACACGGCGAGTTGAGTTGATGCCAAAGAGCTCGATTTTGGTCTCATCTGACCACAACACTTTCACCCAGTTCTCCTCTGAATCATTCAGATGTTCATTGGCAAACTTCAGACGGGCCTGTATTTGTGCTTTCTTGAGCAGGGGGACCTTGCGGGCGCTGCAGGATTTCAGTCCTTCACGGCGTAGTGTGTTACCAATTGTTTTCTTGGTGACTATGGTCCCAGCTGCCTTGAGATCATTGACAAGATCCTCCCGTGTAGTTCTGGGCTGATTCCTCACCGTTCTCATGATCATTGCAACTCCACGAGGTGAGATCTTGCATGGAGCCCCAGTCCGAGGGAGATTGACAGTTATTTTGTGTTTCTTCCATTTGCGAGTAATCGCACCAACTGTTGTCACCTTCTCACCAAGCTGCTTGGCGATGGTCTTGTAGCCCATTCCAGCCTTGTGTAGGTCTACAATCTTGTCCCTGACATCCTTGGAGAGCTCCTTGGTCTTGGCCATGGTGGAGAGTTTGGAATCTGATTGATTGCTTCTGTGGACAGGTGTCTTTTATACAGGTAACAAGCTGAGATTAGGAGCACTCCCTTTAAGAGTGTGCTCCTAATCTCAGCTCGTTACCTGTATAAAAGACACCTGGGAGCCAGAAATCTTTCTGATTGAGAGAGGGTAAAATACTTATTTCCCTCATTAAAATGCAAATCAATTTATAACATTTTTTACATGCATTTTTCTGGATTTTTTTGTTGTTATTCTGTCTCTCACTGTTCAAATAAACTGACCATAAAAATTATAGACTGATCATTTCTTTGTCAGTGGGCAAACGTACAAAATCAGCAGGGGATCAAATACTTGTTTCCCTCACTGTATGTATTGAAATCTTTCTCAACTTTTACAATCCGCTTGTAATTTCATAAAAACGCTCCTATCTTTGCCATATTTGTCTGGCATACCTTGGATTTCACTATGTTGTCATCTTAACTTTTTATAAATGATATTTTTTTTTTTCTGCTGATGATTGCTCCATGCAGTGATCAAGTTGCAGAGCATGTCTTTAAGGAGCAGGGGATACTCGTCTTGATTCCCTATTTTGTTTTTCACTCCCATCACCCAACTGCAGTCGTTGACCCTGTTGGAGAACCTATTAAAGACAGGCTCAGACCGCGTTCTGAATACAATGAAGGACAACATCTACATTGTGAAAGCACTAACAGAGTTCCGTTTCCAGGACAAGGATGGGAAAGATCAGGTACTAAAGCTTGCTAAATGCAAACCAACTCCTCTGATATGCAAGTTCCATTTCCAAGGTATTCTTTTTGAAGCCTCCCCACTTGAGAAATGAACTGTGAGCGAATTTACGTATTCATAATAATTAGCATAACTTTATGATTAGTATGTTCAGAAAATATCCAGTGAAAGTGCTTTGTAGAACAGGAATAGGCTTAAACTGATCTGGGAAACCAGTCCAAAAGTGAGTGAGGCTTGAAGTATCTGCCTCTACTAACATCTAAGCTAACACAGTGCTTTGCCATGCATACACTGACTGATATTGAGCTTTCCTATACTAATTCTGCACAGTTACGCTTAGGGAGCCCCATGCTCCAGAAAGAGAGCTACCTAGTGGTACATACTAATGATGTCTGCTCATGCTATCCTTCACAGGGGGTGAACGTGAGGGAGAAGGCCAAGGTAGTACTGGTTCTTATGGAGGACGACGAGAAACTAAAGGAAGAGCGAGAGTTTGCGCTCAAGACCAGAGACAAGATCTCAAAGAACGCCACTGGTGCACATTAGAGAGCACACACTCTACATTTAAGAGACTTCATTTGACCATTTCCCTTAAAACATTCTTGGAAAACAATAAACAATTTCCTGAATTGAAAACTGAATTGACCCCCAACCCTGCTTGCCATAATGATGTATCTCATCATGCTATACTATATCTTATCGTGCTCTTCCCTCAGCCTCCTCAGACGACCCCAACGACCCCAAGGACCCCAACTACAAGCCAGTGTATGTCCCAGGAGCCACCGGGCTCCCCTCCCTGGCCAATATCCCGTCTGTGGCTGACCTCGCCGCCAGCTTTGAGGCCAAGAAGCAAGAAAAACTGAGACTAGAGGCCCAGAAAAAAGAGGAGGAAAGAAGGGTAAGTATTACATTTCAATAGTCTGATTTCTCCCTTTATTTGGACTTTCAAAGACACCTTCAGTAAAGGATTGTACACTTAGGACATTTTGGATCATCTACCAAATAAATGTGTGTTTGGCATCATGATTGTCCAATCACTTATGTAATTGCAGTCAAAGATGACCAAGGAAGAGCTTGAATGGGAGGATGCCGCCAAAGCAGGAAAGGTTGCTGACGCCTTTGGCGGGGCAGATGAACCATCAGAGGAGGATGCATGGGGTGCAGCAGCCAAAGCACCCGCTCCTGATCCTTGGGGGGGTGCGTCCAAAGCTCCATCCGAGGATGCATGGGGTGCAGCATCTAATGCTACAACAGAAGAAGCAGATCCTTTTGCGGTGCCAGCCAGTGCCCCAACAGATGGTTCAGATCCTTTTGCGGCTCCAAAAGATGGTTCCGATCCATTTTCTGCACCATCCAATGCACCATGTAAAGTTGAAGCTGATCCGTTTGGGGCACCAAAAGATGATCCCTTTTCAGCACCATCAAATACACCAAAAGGTGTTTCCGATCCGTTTGGGGCACCAAACGATGATCCCTTTTCAGCACCATCAAATACACCAAAAGGTGGTTCCGATCCGTTTGGGGCACCAAAAGATGATCGCTTTTCAGCACCATCCAATACACCAAAAGGTGGTTCCGATCCATTTGGGGCACCAAAAGATGATCCCTTTTCAGCACCATCCAGTACACCAAAAGATGGAGACGATCCATTTGGGGCACCAAAAGAGGATCCATTTTCGGCACCATCCAATATGCCAAAAGACGATTCCGATCCTTTTGGGGCCCAATTGAATACCCCAACAAAAGGTGCTGATCTTTTTAGGGCACCATCTAGTCCACCAACCGAGGCTTCAGATGCGTGGGGTGCTCCATCCAATCCACCGTCCGAAAAGAAGGCTGATCCCTGGGGAGATGAGAGGACCACAGCTGCCTCTCCCCCCACAGATCCATTTGGCGATGGCTCGAAGGCTGATGATGACGCATGGGGACCACCAGGTAAGGAGTAATGGTTATAACCTTGTGACATCATCACAAGTGCTCTTAATTAATATACAGTCATTTTTAAGATGTAGACCACAATTACCATATATACATTTTTGGTTGGAGTTCCCCTTTAGATCTGTTTAACCTCACCCCCTTTCCTCCAGCATCGACCCCGCCCACCGCCAGTGACCCTTGGGGTGCACCTGCAGCACCCACAGACACAGCATCGACAGGCGACCCCTGGGGAGATGGAGGGGCTTTCACCACTACAGACACCATGAACTCTGACCCATGGGGAGCTCCAAGTAATGGCACAGGTAATGTAGTAATGTATGCTTCCTCAAGGCTGTTGCCTCCAAGCTCTGAGTAAGGCGTCTGACACACCGAAATGTAAGCCTCTCTGTAGGTCCTGGCAATAAACCTTAAACATCCTTGCATGCAGATATCTGAGTACTCCTTTTTCTTTCAGTCAAGCATGTTTGGGTACGCTCACAGATTCCATTAATGTTTTTCTTTGTGTGTTAGCACTCCATCTGTCTTCCCTCTGTCTGTGTCTCCAACACTATACTGAACACATCCTTGTCTGGTGAAACCCATCCTTTCTCATGTTTATACTTCCCATAGGCAATTATTCCTCTAGGGTTTGGTGAAATCTTCAAGATGTATTATCGTATATCACGATATACGATAATATTGTAATATCGCAATGTACGATAATATCGTAATATTGCGCAGGCCTTTTTTCCTCTTTCTCTACAGACAATGGAGCCGCCGCAGACGAAAACAACAAATCGCCAGCTGCGTTCCTTGGTGCCGGAGCATCGCTCGTGAACATTGACTCACTCCTCTCTTCCAAACCCAAACACCCCCCCCTCGACGTCCATGCCAAGCAACAAAGTAAGGACGGGTAAACGAAAGAGAGACCGGGGGAGAGAGAGAGGGAGAGAAACAGAGAGTGAATATATATTTATCCGTTCATTTAAAGCAGTGCTTGTGATTCAGTGTTTTGACTAGACCTTCCTCCCCCTTTAGTGGATAACTGTTGTGTTGGTCAGCATCAGTAGTTGTAGTCACGTACAGTACCAGTCAAAAGTTTGGACCTACTTATTCAAGGGTTTTTCTTTATTTTTACTATTTTCTACATTGTAGAATAATAGTGAAGACATCAAAAATGAATGTAGAATAATAGTGAAGACATCAAAAATTAAATAACACATATGGAATCATGTAGTAACCAAAAAAGTGTTAAACAAATCAAAATATATTTTAGATTTTAGATTCTTCAAAGTAGCCACCCTTTGCCTTGATGACAGCTTTGCCAACGCTTGGCATTCTCTCAACCAGCTTCATGAGGAATGCTTTACCAATAGTCTTGAAGGAGTTCCCACATTATGCTGAGCACTTGTTGGCTGCTTTTCCTTCACTCTGCCGTCCGACTCATCCCAAACCATCTCAATTCGGTTGAGGTCGGGTGATTGTGGAGTCCAGGTCATCTGATGCAGCACTCCATCACTCTCCTTCTTGGTCAAATAGCCCTTACACAGCCTGGAGGTGTGTTTTGGGTCATTGTCCTGTTGATGGTAGTCCCACTAAGAGCAAACCAGTTGGGATGGCGTATCGCTGCAGAATGCTGTGGTAGCCATGATGGTTAAGTGTGCCTTGAATTCTAAATAAATCACAGACAGTGTCACCAGCAAAGCACCCCCACACCATCACACCACCACCTCCTCCATGCTTCACGGTGGGAACCATACATGCGGAGATCATCCGTTCACCTACTCTGCGTCTCACAAAGACACGGCGGTTGGAACCAAAAATCTCAAATTTGGACTCCAGACCAAAGGACACATTACCACCAGTCTAATGTCCATTGCTCGTGTTTCTTGGCCCAAGCAAGTCTCTTCTTATTATTGGTGTCCTTTAGTAGTGGTTTCTTTGCAGCAATTCGACCATGAAAGCCTGTCACGCAGTCTCCTCTGAACAGTTGATGTTGAGATGTGTCTGTTACTTGAACTCTGTGAAGCATTTATTTGGGCTGCAATCTGAGGTGCAGTTAACTCTAATGAACTTATCCTCTGCAGCAGAGGTAACTCTGGGTCTTCCTTTCCTGTGGTGGTCCTCATGAGAGCCAGTTTCATCATAGCACCTGATGGTTTTTGCGACTGCACTTGAAGAAACGTTCAAAGTTTTTAAGAAGGCACACCTGTTAATTGAAATGCATTCCAGGTGAATACCTCATGAAGCTGGTTGAGAGAATGCCAAGAGTGTGCAAAGCTGTCATCGAGGCAAAGGGTGGCTACTTTGAAGAATCTCAAATATTAAATATATTTTGATTTGTTTAACACTTTTTTGGTTACTACATAATTCCATATGTGTTATTTCATAGTTTTGATGTCTTCACTATTATTCTACAATGTAGAAAATAGTAAAAAATAAAGAAAAACCCTAGAATGAGTAGGTGTCCAAACTTTTGACTGGTACTGTATATATTTTAGATATGTAACCTTTTCACTCCTCTCTCTGTTCTACACTCTCTCTTGGAATGTTCTGGACTGTGTATCCCTCCTCCTCCCTCTCTTGCCCCATTTCTTTAGCTTTTCCTAATTTCCCAGGCGTTTTACAAGGCCCAGGCCCTATGGGCAGACTCACGTCCATTGCTGGGGTTTCTCGTACTACAATCCCCCCAGACTCCAGCCTTTTTGGTTCCACCCCTATGTCCTACGGTGTTACCCGCCCCAGCTTTGGGTCCCCCAACCCCATGCTGGGGACTCCTTTATCCCAGCTATCATCCCATTCCCTGGGAATGCCTCATCCTGGCCTAGCTATTCCTGCAATGGGACCTCAGATGGCACCCCCCTGTTTTGGAGCTGTGATGATACAGCCCAATTGTCTGGGGGTTATTCCTCAGGCAGGACACTCTGCAATGGCCCACTTGGGAGCTTCCACTCCTCCAATGGGGGGGGGGGGGTCCCTTTGCAGCCACACATGGTTTTGGACACCGGGATGGGACAGCCTCTTCAACGGAACAACAATCCTTTCCTTTTCTGAAAAGCTACAACCTGTCCAGCTCCCCTTCCTCAACCCCAATATCTACAATGGTTAATATAATGTACATGTCTAATTTAAGTGTATGCAACAATATGTAAGAAATGAAACAAGGGAAAATATAAGTATTTCAAAAAACATTTGATTTTTATTTAGGTTCTTTCAAGAGTGGGAAACTGAGAGGGGACCATAGGAGTTAGTTCCATTTAGTCCTTGTGTGATTTTGTTCTTGTGTTGTTCTTTTTTAGTTACACTGGCCAGGTTATTATCAATGCTCTCCTTCTTTATGCTCGACTCATAAGGCTCTGAGAAAGGTGAATGGAGGGTTAAGAAGACGTGATAGCAATATGTGTACAATCATTACAAAAGCCTATAGTGGGACACGTACCTGTAAAGAACAGGATGGAAGTAGAGCCGCTTTCAGGAGGTGTGTGTGTGTGTGTGTGTGTGTGTGTGTGTGTGTGTGTGTGTGTGTGTGTGAGCATGTTTTGTGTGAAGATGAGGTGAGATCCTTCAGCAAAAGTAACCATAACAACAGTAACTTTTTAAAGTAATTTTTAAAAATGTCTATTTTATTTATTTATTCATTTATTATCTTATTTACTGTATTTATTAATTAAATGATTTGTTTGTTTCTTGAACACTTGGCCTCCAACAGATACTTTCGAAACAAACTAGAGCCATATTCAAATTAATTAATATCACATTACTGACAGCAAGCATCAAAGTTGTCATTGTACTGAGGGTTTCTTGAGTTGAACAGTGACTTTGGTTGGAAACGGTCATATCCAATTGGATAGAACCCTAATCATCCACATGATCATCCAATAACCAATAGTGGCTTTATTTCCCTTTTATTATTTTATACACATTTATATGTCTACTTATTTACTTATGTTTGAGAACAAACATGTTGTATACAAATGAAAGCTGAATTTGTCATATCATTTTTTTCTGTCCTGCGCATGTTGTTGAAAACTGTATCTCAAATCAGTTGAAAGTCATTTTTGTCAAATATTTGTATTGAAAGACAACATTCCATGCAGACAGTACTGTTATGTTTATCTATTCAGTGAGTTTTCATCGTAAGGCCTATGAATCCTATTGGATGCTTGTCATTCTGTATTTTGCATTCCCTCTTTAGCCTCAAACAAAACAGTTGAAGTACAACAAGACAGTGCACAAAATGTGAAGCGAAATGAAAGTGGGACTGGAATTATCTGAATCGTAGTGCAAGTCTATTAGTATCGTTATGGTAAATGTTATCATAGCTAATATTATCATTACATTTTGTATGATAAATAAATATTTATTTATTTGGGTTGTCAAGGCTGTGCTGTAAACTGTGACAGTACACATTTGAGTGAAATAAAATGATTCAATACCAGAGAGCTCAGCTCTGACTACAAATTCTCTCTTTGTTGGCATTTCTTATGTTTTAAGGTATCTTCATCAATTTCTGTTATCTCTTTGAATGAGGGGTATGGTCTATGCTCAATCAACATTTGTCTCAATCAACATCATAGTGATGGTAGCTATTACAAATGGCCACAAGAAGGCTGGTGACACATCTGTCACTCCAGCCACTCCAGTTCAGTGAGCCTGTTTTATACACTGTATACATATTTTTAGTATGCACATACATGCATGTGCATCCCTGGACTAAAACCCAATTTCAATTATGTTTCATTCAGTCGCTCACTTCACTCTTTCAGCCCCTCTCTGAAATCAGGATGATTCAAACTAATTTGTGGACATAATTTGAGGAACAGCTGTTTGATGGCAGTTAGCTAAGCGGAGTGGAGATTGCTGGGTTGAAGGGAAATTGGGTGGATCACTTGAACTGACGGGATGAAAGCGAGGGACTGAGTGGTGAGCGGCTACTGTAAATTCTCTAATTCCACTCCTCATTCAGAGTATGGGCATGACCCTTGGAAATCTGGGCTGTTGACTCATCATCCAGGCCACGATGGGGATTCCCCGTAGGGGAACAGATTGTGTTAAATCGTATGTAATCAGAGGGGTCAGAGCAGTACAGCACATCGGTACAGTACAACAAATGACATAGTGAGTTCCCGTCCAATGCCATAACCTTAATCATTATGTAGTGAACTACAAAGTAGGATCATGGATTTGCCTCAAGTGGAGCGTAAGAAAGGGTAGGAGAGAGAGGGAGGGAGAGAGAATGTGAGGGATGGATGGATAGATATAGGGAGCAAAGAGAGAGAAAGTAACAGATGGGCTTGTGAGGATTAAGTGAAATCTGGGTGGGTTTGTGCTAGAAACTCACCCAAGAAAGACGAGCGTAAGGGAGAGGGAAAGTGAGGGAGGGAGAAAAGGTGAAGAAAGTGAATCTCGTAGAGAGGACGAAGGAGTGTAGAGGGTCGATGTCTCTGAAGGCCTTATATGGTACGTTTTTTTTTCTTCTTTAATTTTAATGTCATTTTTTAGCTTGATTCATTCACAAACATCTGTTCGGTAACTTTCATGCATGTATAGTACAACCGTAATGGGTGGACAAGGACTCAATGGAAAGCCCATCGATATGCAGCACATAGAGAAAATACAATGGGTATGGCAATTGAAAATCATATCTAGGCACAGGTATTACAGGAAATGAAACCTACCTACCCATGATAGCCTACAAGTAGCCCACAGGAAGTGTGGAAAGTAGCTTTTGTCTTGGGGAGCTAGTTTTCAACAGCTTCATATGTACTGTAGCAACATCTGAATTACATGGGAAGGAAAAGTGATACTGCGTGTGTGATTGTGTGGCTGTGTCATATTTAATCATATTGTTGGACAATGGGGATAGGAGATTTTCTTTGGTTTACCCGTTAAATTGATGCGGCCCCTAGACTGCCCCAAATCTTTTCCGGTTTCGAGTGAGGCAAAAAAAAAAAGAGTGCCAGAGTATCTGGAGTTTATATGTGAGACTCTTAGGAAGGAGAGATTGATTGACAGTTTGAAACATTGTTCTGTTGAAATACTTACAGATTTAAATAATTGGAAAATTGAAGGGCTTGTAATTTGATCATTTGGGGGGAAATTTACTAAGTTTGAAGGATATTCCAAATGTTGGAATATTTTGGTATCATGATGGGATAAATGAAATACCTTACTTTTCTGGATGGGTGTCACTAGGGAGGGGAGTCTGACTAACTCCTGGTCTTACTGTCATGAGGAATCCTCTCTGTCATTATTTTGTGCTGCAATTGACAAACCAATCTGGCAACAACACAGCATTACACTCTTAGAAAAAAGGATTCCAAAAAGGTTATTCGGCTGTCCTCATAGGAGAACCCTTTTTGGTTACAATTTTGTAATTTAGCATACACTCTTATCCAGAGCAACTTACAGTAGTGAGTGCATACCTTTTCATACTTTTTTGTACTGGTCCCCTGTGGGAATCGAACCCACGACCCTGGCATTGCATGTGCCATGCTTTACCAACTGAGTCACCCAGGGAGAACCTTTTTGGTAACATGTAAAACCCTCTGTGGAAAGGGTCCTACATGGAACCAAAAAGGGTTATTCAAAGGGTTCTCCTATGGGGACAGCTGAATAACCATTCTAGGTTCTAGATAGCACCTTTTTTCTAAGAGTGTATAGTGGTAATGTATGCAGATGGACTGATGCAGATGTTGCCAGATTAAATTAAAATACAGAAACATCACATCTGTGATTCTGCTATCTTTGTCAGATTGCTATTCTACATAAAGACCATATCAACACAGATGGATTGATATTTCAATGACCATTCTCTAAGGTGACCAATAATGATTAATGGAAATGAGACAGACATCAGACCAGTACACTAAACCATCCGTATAGTATGATGATGATGATGATGATTGTGACAATGATAAAGATTGTGACGATGACATGATATGATGATGACAACAATGACGACGATAGGATGATGATTGTGTGGATGATTGTGATTGTGATGATGCAAAAGATTGTGATGATGAAGATGATGATAAAGAATGTTGTGATGATGATATGATGTTGACGATGATGATCGTCATCGATGATGATCATGGTCTGTTGACATAGTCCACATAGTCCAAAGTATGTATGTAATCTCAAACTTTGCTGACTATATGGATTACATCGTTGTCTAAGCCTATTGCCATGTAATATGAAATGTTTCTACATATGGGAGATTACAGTGAACAGTGATTTCTGACGGATTTTGCTGTATTTTGTTGCCCCTTAATTACTCCTCCCGATACTAATCCAAATTATTTGTCTTGCTCTATAGATGGTTGGACAGACGTTACGATCGTCAGATCAAGTGGGATTAACCAGATTCACCTAGTACAGGGAGATTAACACAGATTCATGAGGATTACGGGCCAACAGAGAGGTAGATTGAGAGATTGGACTAATCATTACATCAAATCACAATCTTCCTAAGAAAGCCGAGATGTGCGGGAAGAACAGAATATGTCCTGAGAAAAAGGAGACAGGAGAGAAGGATTAGGGGTTGTATAAAACGTGGTGAAATTGAAGTGTTTCTCTTCCAGGACACAACTGTATAACAGCGAACACATGCCAAATCCATGTCATGAAACTGGAAACATGGGATGTAGCATACAGACGAAAAATAAAAAATTTAAGAAAAATTCATTCATTCAATTTTTCTTCCCAAATCTAAAGCTGAAAAGCTCTTTGCCTGATTGCCCCAGTTCAATGACTGCTTTGATTTGCTAATTAATCATCACAAGTCGTTATTGAGGGACCACAGCTGGATCAGCGTGTAAAGGAGGAATATCGAGAGGACTAGTTGGAGTAGAGAATGACAGAGGCTAGAGGCTAGCTAGTCCTCATCTGCATCCAATCCATCTGTCTCACTCAACAGCGAGAAAATCCTCTAAATTCATTTTACTCCGCTCCATTGACCCCTGACCCCGTGTTTTATCTATTCCCTTCTTCTTCTTCTTCACTCCCTCCCTTTATCCCGCCCCTGCCTAATCTCCTCGTCTCATCTCATCCCTCCATCCCATAATTTTCTCACAGTTTCCTAATCCCACTCCCCATAACCATCCCTCTGTCAAACCCCCTCCCCACTCCCATTTCTCTACTCTATATCTCTCCATTCCATTCCCCTCATTCTGCCTTGTCATTGAGTTCCCCCACAGTTCTCTCCTCATCATTGTCAATGCCCTCACTCTAGCTGATCTCTCATCAGTCCTCTGTCATCCCTGTGTCCATCCTCTAACCAGCACCCTCACCGTGTTTCACCATCCTTCGTCTCAAGCTCCCCTTGAGACACCCCGTCTCTCCCTATCTCTCGCTTCTCTTCCCTGCCTGTCTCCCACCTCTGTCTCTCTATTGGAGGACCACTATTTATTCTAGCAGTAGCCCTCGCCCCACACCCATAAGCCACCATGCTGGAGAACATGTCACGATGCAACCGCTCCCTGCTCTCCTTGTCCCTGACTTCGCTGGCCCTGGCACTGTCCATTCTGGCCTTTTGCACCTCGTACTGGTGCGAGGGGACCCACAAGGTTGTCAAGCCCCTCTGCCTCTCCCCGGTCAAGTTGAAGAACTGCGGGCAGAACAACAGCCAGCCCTACACCACAGGTAGGGAACAAATTCACCTATCCACATGTGCAAGAACGAATGTGGAGCCCAGTACCTAAACAATTATTTGTTTCCCTCACTATGTACTTGTGGACTCACCCCTGTTGAACCAACCCCTGAACATGAATCCTTACACTGTGAATTCTTGCTTTTTAGATGTCAGGGGAACCCTTGGCAAAAAGTCAATCTTTCCCTTTTTCGCAATCCTCTGAGAAATCTACTGTATATCAACAGAAAGCACACAGAGGTCTGTTTACATAGTCCACATAGTCCAATGTATGTATGTAATCACAAACTTTGTTGACTATCTGGATTACATCGTTGTCTAAGCCTATTGCTATGTAATATGCAATTCTTCTACATAAGGGAGATTACGTCAAGAACAGTGATTTCTGACCGATTTTGCTGTAGATTGTTGCCCCTTCATTCCATTGACACTAGGGAGCACTTTTGACCTCTGTCCCTGAAGAATATTAAATGATGGTCTTGTTATGCCTTTGACGAACATGGCTGGAAGATGTGTGTTTATGGAGTTTATTGTAGAAAAACATTACAGTAATACGGTATGTAGACTAGACACATATATCTCGCCTAAAACTGTCCAACCGTTCCTGTCCCAATTACCCCTTTACCCTCTCTTTTCCTCAGAGAGTCCCACTCTGGACCCTAAGACGCCGGCAAACAACGTCACCTTGTCGCCCATGGAAAAGGAAGAGCAGGCGAGGCTTCGGAAAAAGGCCCTCGCCAACGCAGTGCACTACATCTGGGAGACAGGCGAGGACAAGTACATGCTGCGCTACTTCCATACAGGTTTCTGGTTGTCCTGCGAGGCACACAACGAGGGTGAGTATTTATCCAGACCATTGTTTGAATATGTTTTACCCTTATAGAAAGAGGGGTTAAGTAGCCTTCATCCCAAGAACCTAATGATGCCTGGTCCTTGTACTGTAAGATCCAATCTCCTCAATGAATGTACTTGCTACGACTGTGATACAGTATGTGATATGTGGTTGTCTCACCTAGCTATAAGGAATTAATGTACTAATTGTAAGTCTCTCTGGATAAGAGCATCTGCTAAATGACTAAAATGTAAAATGTAAATGTAAATGAATCCCTAGCCTTAGCCAGTAATTGCTTGACACAGAGAACTTCATTGGAACAATGAATAAAGCAGGATACAGCTCTTGTTATAGGCGAGTCCAGTCTTACAATAAGGTCGGACCTAGGACTGAGCCTTGTGGAACCCCAATAATTACTGGACACTAATGATTAGAATGCACTATAACGTCGATATATCTATCAGCATTTGCCATCGTGTCTTTGAATATGGCTGTTTTGCTGTTCTACTGTCAATCTCTACTTATCCACTGATCTGGGATAGTCCCTAATCAGCTGAGGCTATGTAGAAGTAAATTATCACAAGCGGGTGCTCTGTTAATAATTTAATCATCTTTAATGTTGGTGATGTAAAGTCAAGAGTCAGTGAAGGCTAACTCAAAGGAATGTCTTCCCATATCATTTCAGTAGTAATTTGCAAAATCACTGTAGAGAGAAGAGTGTTAGAGCTTTTGTCTTGACCCTAGATAGAGAACATCTGGTGGATTTTTCTTTCTCCTCAATGTGGCTTATTTTACTTCAGAAAGTGTCCCCTTCCGATTGCCCATGCCAATTGGAACACTATTCTAAGATCTCACAATAGCCACTCAAGGGATCTCTTATTAAATCAGTATGTCAATCTTCTTGACAAGGCCCTAAAAGATACATGTGAATGTATTGACTTAAATTGTATTTGTTACTAATCACATTCTATTTGTCTTACAGAGGAGAAGTGCCGGAGCTTCATTGAATTGACTCCAGGGGAGACACAAGGTTTGTGCTCATTGAAAGTACATACAGGTGCTGCTAATAAGCCACCATTAAAGTCAAATAAGGACTTTATGCAAGCCTTTTCTCTCTCTACCTCTCTCCAATCTTAATTGTCCCATTTTCTCTATCTGTCTTTCTATCTCTTACTTGCTCTTTATTCCTCACTCTTTTGCACTCTTCTTCTCTTCTTCCTACTTTTCTGGCATATTCTCTCTCTCTTCTCTCAATATTTGCTATCTATCTACTTTCCTCACTCTTTCGCTCTCTCTCTTCTCAATCTTTCGCTCTATCTCTTCTCACTCAAATCTTTGTGCTCTCTTCTTTCTCACTCTTGCTCTTCTATCTTCTCCTTACTCTTTTGCTCTAGTATCTCTACTCACTCTTTTGCTCTCTCTCTTCCTCAATCTTTCGCTCCTCTCTTCTCACTTTTCTCTCTCTCTCTTCTCACTCTTTGCTCTCTTCTCTTAACACTCTTTTGCTCTCTCTCTCTCTCTTCATCAATCTTTGCTCTCTCTCCTCTCCTTTCACTCACTCTTTTCCTCGACTCTCTTCTCACTCTTTCTCTCTCTCTCTCTTCGTATCTCTCTCTCTTCTTCTCGTCTCTTCTCTCTCTTCCTCTCTCTCTTGCTCTCTCTCTCTCTCTCCTTCCTCACTCTTTCGCTCTCTCTCTCTCTTCCTCACTCTTTTGCTCTCTCTCTCTTCCTCACTCTTTCGCTCTCTATCTCTTCCTCACTCTTTCGCTCTCTCTCTCTCTGACAGGGGTGCTATGGCTGTCAGTAGTATCAGAGTTTGCGTACATAGGCCTGTTGGCCATGGGCTTTCTCCTCATGTGGGTGGAGGTGCTGTGTCTCTGTGCCCGTAAGGAGATGTACGCTCTCAAGATCAACGCCTTTGCCGCTATATGCACTGTCCTTTCAGGTGAGACAGCCACCACTGGCAGAACTTTCTCTTATTACAAAAATTATATATACCAAGGCTTTTAGTATTCTGTAAAAATATTCAAAAGGTAAAGCATTGATTATTTGATGTTGGTCAAATCAAATAGGAGATTGTCAGCAAATAAATCACCCTCTCTCTCTCAGGTCTGATGGGGATGGTGGCTCATATGATGTACACCACAGTGTTCCAGTTGACTGTGAGCATTGGGCCAAAAGATTGGAGACCACAAACCTGGGACTATGGCTGGTCATTTGCGTAAGTATCCCCTTAGGCATAGTTCACCCAAATTACAAAATTGCTTATTTGTTCCCTTACCCAGTCTTTGGACATGGAGCAAATCCATGGTTTGGTTTGTTTGTATAGGCACTGTCTCCAATCATTTTCTAACCACAAACCAATGGAAAACAGTGGGGTCCAGAATTATTGGATCCCTTGATAAAGATGAGCCAAAAAGCCTTTATAAAATAAATAATACTAATACTGAGCTATATTGTATGCAAAATGTTTTAAATATATAATTATATTGTTTTATACTACCACAATTTTGTTTAACAACTAGTAGAAATCTCAAAAAGATAGGGGTCAAAAGGATCCCCTTGCGAGGATAAGGACACTGAGCCTTTTTCTAAAATATTTTATGAGTTGGAGAATACATTGGGAGGGATTTTAGACCATTCCTCCATAAATAATCTTTCCAGATCCTTGATATCCTTTGTCTGCGCTTATGGACTTCCCTCTTCAATTCGAACCACAGGTTTTCAATGAGGTTCAAATCAGGAGACTGAGATGGCCATTGCTAAATGATGATTTTGTGGTCAATTAACCATTTATTTGTGGATTTTGATGTGTGCTGGTGTGCGTGGCCAAATACCTTTATTTTAGGGTAATTTGACCATAGCAATGGTTCCAATCCAAGTGCCAATGCCATTTAGCAAACTCCAGTAGGTGCTATGGTCAGATGACAAGAAAATAGAGCTCTTTGGCCATGTACTCCTGAGTGGCGCAGTGGTCTAAGGCACTGCATCACAGTGCTAACTGTGCCACTAGAGATCCTGGTTCGAATCCAGGCTCTGTCGCAGCCGGCCGCGACCGGGAGACTCATGGGCGGTGCACAACAATCCCTCCCAATGTGTTCTCCAATCTCATAAAATATTTTAGAAAAAGGCTCAGTGTCATTATCCTCGCAAGGGGATGTTGCTGGAGTATTGAAAACAATATATATTTTGTAATACTTGTTAAACAAAATATTTTTCTCTGTTCAATTGTCTTAGTATAGAATGATTAAGAAAAAATAAATACATTATTTATTTTATAGTCTTTTTTGCTCATCTTTATCAAGGGATCCATTAATTCCGGACCCCACTGTATGTACCCGATATTAGCATCTTTTAAACTTCTAGGCCATATTTACAGCCTATCTATAACCAATGACCACCACGGTTCACCATCCTTTCTCTCTCTTACCCCCAGTCTGGCCTGGATCTCCTTCAGCTGCTGCATGGCGGCGGCTGTCTTCACCCTCAACTCCTACACCAAGACGCTGATAGAGATGAAGCACCGCGCCCGCGTTAGTCTGGAGGAGGCCCGGGCAGCCATACAGGCACCCTCCTACGACGAGGTGTTGCAGGCGGCCGGGGGCGTCTACTCAGTTAGCAGCCTGCTCCAGCATTACCAGCAGGGGGCGTTGATTGACCCCATGTGTGAGGGGAGGGGGCCGCTGGTGGGCCCGGGGGTTCCAGACCCCAGAGGGCTGGTGATGATGGCTGGTGGCTGTGGGACAGAGGGGTGCGAGGACTGCGAGAGAGAGATGGACGAGATTGAGGATGCCCTGGACAGGGAAGAGAGGGAGGAGATGGAGAGAGAGGACTGTGAGAGGTGCTGAGGGAAGGGAGGAGGAGGGGTTAAAAATAGGTTCTGGCCTATTTATTTTTCTTACATGTTTTGGATTTAACTGTGAAATGGACTGTGCTTGAGTTCAGTCATTGCACTGATAATTATTTCATTACCTCAGTCCATGAATTAAATCTGAGTAGATAAAGCTCTGTAAAACCAAACACAGAGAGTGATATGTATTGTCCGGGTAGAGATTGATATAGACAATCACTAAGAAATGCCTGGCATTGGCCACATTTAACATGTATAGTATATCTCATTTTTATTCGATTGTATTTATGGTAACCCTGTTATTACTATCCTGATATTGATAGTAACTGTGGTGACATTGTGAATAAAACTTAGAATTTGTATTTTCTCTCCGTCTCTGTTTCATGTCATGTCAGTTCTTCTAAATAAACTGGACACATCCTGGGAACTGTCTGTTGGAACAACTGTCTCATTATCTCCAGTTGATGTCCAAAAATAGATGATGACATTATCTTGAATGTTAAACGGAGAGTGATGCAAAGATTACATCAAAAAACAGGGAGCTTTGGAGGTTAAGACAGATGCTTTCAAATGCTTGACAGAAGATTATGTCAACAATCTCCCCAGTCACAGGTACAAGGGCAAAGGGCGAGAGAGAGAGAGAGGGGGAGGGAGAGAGAGAGGAGAGAGAAAGAAAGAAAGAGCGGGTGACAGCCACCTCTACAAGTCTGTAGGATTATTCAGATGTATGTGGTAAATGATAGAGAATGTAAATAAAAACAGAAGGGTAGCCTATAAGATCAGCAATATACAGTGGGGAGAACAAGTATTTGATACACTGCCAATTTTGCAGGTTTTCCTACTTACAAAGTATGTAGAGGTCTGTAATTTTTATCATAGGTACACTTCAACTGTGAGAGACGGAATCTAAAACAAAAATCCAGAAAATCACATTGTATGATTTTTAAGTAATTAATTTGCATTTTATTGCATTACATAAGTATTTGATCACCTACCAACCAGTAAGAATTCCGGCTCTCACAGACCTGTTAGATTTTCTTTAAGAAGCCCTCCTGTTCTCCACTCATTACCTGTATTAACTGCACCTGTTTGAACTCATTACCTGTATAAAAGACACCTGTCCACACAATGGCCAAGACCAGAGAGCTGTGTAAGGACATCAGGGATAAAATTGTAGACCTGCACAAGGCTGGGATGGGCTACAGGACAATAGGCAAGCAGCTTGGTGAGAAGGCAACAACTGTTGGCGGAATTATTAGAAAATGGAAGAAGTTCAAGATGACGGTCAATCACCCTCGGTCTGGGGCTCCATGCAAGATCTCACCTCGTGGGGCATCAATGATCATGAGGAAGGTGAGGGATCAGCCCAGAACTACACGGCAGGACCTGGTCAATGACCTGAAGAGAGCTGGGACCACAGTCTCAAAGAAAACCATTCGTAACACACTACGCCGTCATGGATTACAATCCTGCAGCGCACGCAAGGTCCCCCTGCTCAAGCCAGCGCATGTCCAGGCCCGTCTGAAGTTTGCCAATGACCATCTGGATGATCCAGAGGAGGAATGGGAGAAGGTCATGTGGTCTGATGAGACAAAAAATAAAGCTTTTTGGTCTAAACTCCACTCGCCGTGTTTGGAGGAAGAAGAAGGATGAGTACAACCCCAAGAACACCATCCCAACCGTGAAGCATGGAGGTGGAAACATAATTCTTTCGGGATGCTTTTCTGCAAAGGGGACAGGACGACTGCACCGTATTGAGGGGAGGATGGATGGGGCCATGTATCGCGAGATCTTGGCCAACAACCTCCTTCCCTCAGTAAGAGCATTGAAGATGGGTCGTGGCTGGGTCCTCCAGCATGACAACGACCCGAAACACACAGCCAGGGCAACTAAGGAGTGGCTCCGTAAGAAGCATCTCAAGGTCCTGGAGTGGCCTAACCAGTCTCCAGACCTGAACCCAATATAAAATATTTGGAGGGAGCTGAAAGTCCGTATTGCCCAGCGACAGCCCCGAAACCTGAAGGATCTGGAGAAGGTCTGTATGGAGGAGTGGGCCAAAATCCCTGCTGCAGTGTGTGCAAACCTGGTCAAGACCTACAGGAAATGTATGATCTCTATAATTGCAAACAAAGGTTTCTGTACCAAATATTAAGTTCTGCTTTTCTGATGTATCAAATACTTATGTCATGCAATAAAATGCAAATTAATTACTTAAAAATCATACAATGTGATTTTCTGGATTACAGACCTCTACATGCTTTGTAAGTAGGAAAACCTGCAAAATTGGCAGTGTATCAAATACTTGTTCTCTCCACTGTAAGTAGCATGACAATACTGTATAGAATGTAGACATTTCCAACCAGAAAATAGTGACAAGTGAAAACACAACATTTTGGAATGCTTTATTTCACAATAATACTTTTGAATCAAAACAGCAAAACAAATTGTTTACAAAAACAGAGGGGGGAAACAGAAATAACAGAAATAATTAAAAACAAACACAAATAATCTGATAGACAGATTTGATTTTGCCTTGCCACACACCTCAGCTCTCTAAGAACTATTAAAGGGCCATTTTTATCTAATGAGGCTTGAAGCTAATGTAATCTAAAGTTTATGACAACTCTTTCATAAAGTCAGTATCTTATCAAAATAAAAGGTGTGTGTATTAAATGAGTGAGACTTCAAATGCTGCTAGAACTGTGCTCAACAGACAGAGAAAACACTAGTTCAGCAATAATTTCAGTCCAAGCGTTTGCACTTCTATAAAGTTTGTGTCTATCATTTTCAGAGGATAATATTAAGACAAAGAAACTAATTGAAACGCACAATCCTTATCTTTCAATAACAGGGACAAACTCTGAGTGAAGTAGTTTCAACAAATTTTACCAAGTTTCTTTCTACTTCGAAAAGAGGAGAGGTAAATGTCATAAAGACTTGTATCGTAGTTGGCATTCTGTGAGTCTACAGTATTTAGCCCTTGACCTTTATTTTAGATTTTGTCTGTCGGTATCAACATCCATGTCTTTATAACACAGGTTCAATTTTAAACACAATCTCTAAAAGGTCCTAAAACATTATCCTAAGATTGCACTACCTTTGTTATTATTGCTGCTTTATTGGTATACATTTCAAAATATTTTACGAATGATTAGCTAATGAGTATGAAGTATTATCAACAGATTACTCAATACTTGCTTTCATTTTCTAAACCCCTCCTACCAGCTCTCAATACTCTTTAGCCTTTCTCAAAACATTCTGAAGCTAAATATCAAGTCCCAAAAATATATAGAATTTGTGCAATACCAGTATATAGTATAAAGTAATGTCCGGTGTAGCTCAATTGGTAGAGCATGGCGCTTGCAACGCCAGGGTTGTGGGTTCAATTCCCACGGGGGAGCAGTATGAAAATGTATACAGTCACTACTGTAAGACGCTCTGGATAAGAGCGTCTGCTAAATGACGAAAATGTAAGTACAATAGGACCTTATTAGCAGGGGTTACTTGTTGGCAGGTTCATATTGAATGAGGCGAAGCGCATCCTCATTGTCCATCACACCCTTGATGAACTCTCCTTCTGCAACTCGCTCTAAGGTGGGGAGAGAGAGCAAGAGCAAGAGAAAGAAACAGATAGGAATCATCATCATTAGGTTTATATTACAGTTAAAATGTGAATTCACATTAAACAAGACTTTCTTTTTCTCACCATTGTCTTTTTTCTCAAAGAATGTCCAGAGTTTGTTGGCCCTCTTCTCCGGTGTGTTCTCGTCATCGGGCAGCTCAGCCTGTTCATCCTTGGGAATTAGCTTGAAAATAGCCTGTTGGGTACACAAGGGGCACAGTTTAGGATCAGTAAAATATCATTGAATACAAACAGCGTTTATTAGAGACAGGCTTCTATTTGAGCAAGGTGTTTATTTCCTTAATGCACACAGCTTTTGCTCAATAAAATGTTGAAAAGACTACCACACTGTTTATTGTGACAAGTATGACCAGTATAAACATTATAATAACAAAGCCCTCGCAGATCAGACTTGCAACGACTTGACTGCCTATCACACGGCTCCCATTTCGCACTTCAACACCATGGAGAGCGGTACCAGTGATGTCGTGTGTTCTTTTTGGTGGCGCGATGGCTAGCAACAATGACACATTTTTTTATGCACATGACCATGGGAATATCAGAGCTGTGTCCACGGTAATCTCGTAAACAATTCATTTAGACCTGGTGTTTATTTGAAACAGGTGTTTATTTGCTGAAATGTGTGCCGATGCCCGGCTTCTAAAAGGGACAGACGGCTATTTGAGACTCAGCGTTTAATTGAAGTTTTATGGTACGTCACTTTCATCAGTTATTCTGTAACATGGGAGATTTACTGACAAATATGTCAAGCAAATCCTGCCGACTACATCAAAATGTCACGTTCATTAATGCTGTCCAACACAAATAACTATTATTATGGAACCATTTTATCCACATTCATGGCTTGTTATTGTAAAGTGTTTGTGAAAGGATGTCATTGAAATTTTCTCACCCTATATAAACTATACACACCAGATCACTGCAGTGAGAATATATCCTTAGAACACCCCAATCCTGTTCTTTTTAATCTTCTCACAAAACCATATACCAGGGCTGATCATTTTGAAAGAGAGATTACTGTGGAACATTTAGTTTGTACTATGAAATGATCAAATGATAATCTTTAAAAGGTACTGTAAGGATAAAGAAAACGTATCGCTCCGAAGGATTGTCAAAAACACATACTGTATTCTTTCTTGAACAATGTAAATGTATGAAACAATCAGGTACCATTCACATGGAAAGAAAATAATATTTGCGTTCAGTGCCTTCGGAAAGTATTCAGACCCCTTGACTTTTTCCACATTTTGTTACATTACAGCCTTGTTCTAAAATGGATTAAATAAAACCATTTCCTCAGCAATCTACAAAAAATACCCCATAATGACAAAGCGAAAACAGGTTTTTAGAAGTTTTTGCAAATGTATAAAAATAAAAAAAAGTATTCAGACCCTTTGCTATGAGACTCGAAATTGAGCTCAGATGCATCCTGTTTCCATTCATCATCCTTGAGATGTTTCTACAACTTGATTGGAGTCCACCTGTGGTAAATTAAATTGATTGGACATGATTTGGAAAGGCACACACCTGTCTATTTAAGGTCCCACAGTTCACAGTGCATGTCAGAGCAAAAACCAAGGAATTGTCGAAGGAATTGTCCGTAGAGCTCAGAGACAGGATTGTGTCGAGGCACAGATCTGGGGAAGGGTACCAAAAAATTTCTGCAGCATTGAAGGTCCCCAAGAACACAGTGGGAGTATAGGGGGTTTAAAGGGTGTGTGTGTGTGTGTGTGTGTGTGTGTGTGTGTGTGTGTGTGTGTGTGTGTGTGTGTGTGTGTGTGTGTGTGTGTGTGTGTCAGTCACCCGGTGCCTCCATCATTCTTAAATGGAAAAAGTTTGGAACCACTAACACTCTTCCTAGAGCTGGCCGCCCAGCCAAACTGAGCAGTCGGGGGAGGAGGGTCTTGGTCAAGGAGGTGACCAAGAACCCGATGATCACTCTGACAGAGCTCTAGAGTTGTGTGGAGATGGGAGAATCCTCTCTGCAGCACTCCACCAATCAGGCCTTTATGGTCGAGTGGCCAGACGGAAGCCACTCCTCATTATAAGTCGCATGACAGACCGCTTGGAGTTTGCCAAAAGGCACCTAAAGACTCTCAGACCATGAGAAACAAGATTCTCTGGTCTGATGAAACCAAGATTGAACTCTTTGGCCTGAATGCCAAGCGTCATGTCAGGAGGAAACCTGGCACCATCCCTACGGTGAAGCATGGTGGTGGCAGCATCATGCTGTGGGGATGTTTTTCAGCGGCAGGGACTGGGAGACTAGTCAGTATCGAGGCAAAGATGAACGGAGCAAAGTACAGAGAGATCCTTGATGAAAACCTGCTCCAGAGCACTCAGGACCTCAGACTGGGGTGAAGGTTCACCTTGAACAGGACATCGACCCTAAGCACACAGCCAAGACAACGTAGGAGTGGCTTCGGGACAAGTCTCTGAATATCCTTGAGTTGCCCAGCCAGAGCCCGGACTTGAACCTGATCTAACATCTCTGGAGAGACCTGAAAATAGCTGTGCAGCGACGCTCCCCATCCAACCTGACAGAGCTTGAGAGGATCTGCAGAGAAGAATGGGAGAAACTCCACAAATACAGGTGTGCCAAGCTTGTAGCATCATACCCAAGAAGACTCAATGCTGTAATCACTGCCAAAGGTGCTTCAACAAAGTACTGAGTAAAGGGTATGAATACATATGTAAATGTGATATGCTTTTCATTCTTAATAAATTAGCAAACATTTCTAAAAACCAGTTTTTGCTTCATCATTATGGGGTATTGTGTGTAGATTGATGAGGGGCAAAACAATTTAACCCATTTTATAAGAAGGCTAAGGTAACAAAATGTGGAAAAAGCCAAGGGGTCTGAATACTTTCTGAAGGCACTGTGGTTTCGAGGGATTTCAAATGATAGTATCTACCATTAATAAATATGCTTCCCATCTGAACATTAGTTTTGATTAAATCGTATTGTGTTCCCATGGATTGTCAGAAATCAAAATAACATTTTGGAGAGAAGAACAGTGGTACAAAAACCACTAAATCACATTTCAGTGTTTCAACTGTAAACAGGGAGCTTAAAGAAGATTAGAGCCTAAGGACTGGTGCGAACTGACAAATCAGCAGCAGCTTGTTCTCATTTCAGCTCACATATACTCAGTTTGTTAGAAGGATTTTTCCTTTTTATATATATATCTATATATATATATACACTGAACAAAATATAAAGTGTTGGTCTAATGTTTCATGAGCTAAAATAAAAGATCCCAGAAATGTTCCATACATACAAAAAGCTTATTTCTCTCAAATTTTGTGCACAAATTTGTTTACTTCCCTGTTAGTGATAACTTCTCCTTTGCCAAGATAATCCATCCACCTGACAGGTGTGGCATATCAAGTAGCTGATTAAACAGCATGATCATTACACAGGTGCACCTTGTGCTGGGGACAAGAAAAGGCCACTCTAAAACGCAATACCCCAGTTGTCCCAAGTTTTGAGGGAGCGTGCAATTGGCATGCTGACTGCAGTAATGTCCACCAGAGCTGTTGCCAGAGAACTGAATGTTAATTTCTCTACCATAAGCCACCTCCAATGTCGTTTAAAATAATTTGGCAGTACGTCCAACCAGCCTCCCAACCGCAGACCACGTGTATGGCGTCGTGTGGGCGGGTGGTTTGCTGATGTCAATGTTGTGAACAGTGTGCCCCATGGTGGCGGTGGAGTTATGGTATGGACAGGCATAAGCTACGGACAACGAACACAATTGCATTTATCTATATAAATTTGAATGCACAAAAATACCGTGACGAGATCCTGAGGCCCATTGTGAGGCCCATTTTTTAAAGGTATCTGTGACCAACATATTAATATCTGTATTCCCAGTCATGTGAAATCCAGAGATAAGGGCCTAATTTATTTATTTAAATTGACTGATTTCCTCATATGAACTGTAACTCAGTAAAATCAATGAAATTGTTGCATGTTGCGTTTATATTTTTGTTCAGTATATATATATATATATATATATATATATATATATATATATATATATATATATATATATATATATATATATATATATATATATATAAACCACTACTAACCCCAGCAAAATACAGTATGCGGTGTTTGCCATTGGTCACATTTACATGGCAAAGCACTGACTGTTCAGATATTGGTTGGCAATATTGTATACTTCACCATGATCACTATAGGGTGGGATACTCACTGTCATTCTTTAGCTCGAAGGACCATATTAGAAATGGTAGTTTTAAAAAACGTTATAATTTGGGCTAAAACGTTATTCACGATTTTAGTATTCAACCTCTTTTGCATGTTTGAACAAATTACACATTTACTTTCAGACAGCCATGGGAGATAATCGCACAGTGTGTGTCACGTACATCTTGACCTGCAGCCCAGTGTAACCAGTGTGAAATGGGTAGCTAGTTAGCGATGCGTGCTAGTGGCGTTTCATTCGGTGACGTCACTCGCTCTGAGACCTTGAAGTAGTTGTTTCCCTTGCTCAGCAAGGACCGCAGCTTTCGTGAAACGATAGGTAAAGATGTTTCGAAGGTGATTGTTGTCTATGTGTGCAGAGGGTCACTGGTTCAAGCCCAGGTTGGGGCGAGGAGAGTGACGGAAGCAATCTTGTTACACCAGGACACACCGAGATGTCTTCAAATCTTAAGCACTGTTTAATCTATATCCCCATTCGCTCCTACCCTATATGTATCCCTCCCTCCTACACCCTTTCAGTTTAACCTAAGATTAATATCTGTATTCCCAGTCATGTGAAATCCAGAGATAAGGGCCTAATGAATTTATTTAAATTGACTGATTTCCTCATATGAACTGTAACTCAGTAAAATCAATGAAATTGTTGCATGTTGCGTTTATATTGAATTCAGTGAATTCGGTCAGACGCCGTAGTAGAGTGGTATCAGTGCCAGAATGAATCTGCACCACAGGGACATTGACACTATCGCTGAGGTGAAACGATTTATCCCCGCCTCCAGGTCACTATAGTGCACCCTGAGACTCCACAGCAGAAGTGAGGCACCAAAGCAATGAATTGCGAGATATTGGGGTTACCACTTTCTTTGTCAAATGTAAAGTCAAGATTTTTTGGATTGAACATTCTATTTTATGGCTTAGTTTGCTCATGTTTAATTATCTTATGGTTGAGAGCCCTTGATATAAGCGTCGCCATTTCTGGGTAAAAGGTTTGTGTGTAGAAATATCAGGGGGTCAATTATTACATCTTAGAAGATAAAACAGAGCTTGAGGCTTATCCCTCCTCCATATTGCCTGAGACCCTAACCACAGCTCCTCCCCCATCTCTGTCAATCACCAAGTAGTACAACCATTTGACACTTGAACAGAATCAATGTCACACAGTTTTAAACCTTAAACCCCTCAATGGCAATTCAGAGGCCTAGATTAAGTCTAGTTTGGATTTAGATGACAAGCATCAGTCAACAGGATTAGTTTCGAACATGCATGTCATCTCTATTTATCTATCCACCCAGCTATCTATCCATCCATCCACTCCCCCTCCCACTACTTACGCTGCAGATATCGGTCACTTCCGACTTGGTGATGTATCCGTTCTTGTCCACGTCGAACAGCGAGAAGGCCCACTCCAGCTTCCGGTTGGTCTTCCCCGTGGACGTCAGGTGCAGCGCAATTATGTACTCCTTGAAGTCCAGCGTGCCATCATCGTTGGTGTCGAAGGAGCGGAAGACGTGCTGCGCGTACGTCTGGGTGTTGCTCTCGGGGAAGAAACGGCTGTAGATGACCTCGAACTCCATGGGCGTGATACGTCCAGAGGGACACGACTTCTGGAAGCTCTCGTACCACTGGGTGATCTCCGTCTCAGTGAACTTGGTGCTGAGCTTCAGGTCTTCCAGGATCTCCTTGGAGACGGCGCTGCTCTTGGCGTTCCCCATGTTATGTTTTCAGGTGAAATAAATAGTTCTCTGTTGTGTCTTTTAAAGGGCAAATGTATATCAACACGGACTGTGATGTGTTTTTTTTGTACGTCCCGACAATGTACGATATCCCTCGAAAAGCAACTCTAAATGAAAATAGGAATGAAGTAATTTAAGTAATCCAGTTAAGAAATCACGGAGTGGAGTTCAATGTTTTAATTATCGTAATCTTTAATCAAGAGACGTATCTGGGCACACCGGGCCATCCATAACTAATTGCAGTAATGTATCCAGCATGTGACGGGATGACAGTTATTGTAGACATGACAGCCGTAATCTGTGCTCTGTGATCTCCGTCTAGTAGTCATAAAATACCCATTCCTAATCATCGGGGTCTATGATACAGGTTACGGTCAGCTAATGAATTTACACATGCACTCACGCATGCACGCAACAAACACACATGCGCACACAAACACATGAACAACATCCTGGCTTTCTCTGTGCTGTTTGTCACTTCATAAAGCCCCACAGTTGTGATATACCCAGGCTTTAAGTTGTTTACAAGTCTATGTGTCTACTTTTCGGACTCACCAGTGATTAATAACCCAGCTCAATACACGTATGGCATTAGCAGTTGAGAGCCCATTACTCATATACTTTTCTAAAATTCACCAAAACATACAATGACCCAATAGTTATTTAGGCATGTATCACAATCAGAGGACGCTGGTGGTAGGAGCTATAGGAGGACGGCTCATTGTAATGTCTGGACTGGAATTAATGGAACGGAGTCAAACGTGGTTTCCATATGCCATTACAATGAGCCCGTCCTCCTATAGCTCCTCCCACCAGCCTCCACTAATCACAATGCATACATATGCAACTAAAAACATAATACTGAAAACCTGTGGTTATTCCTTTGATCTATGACTCAACTATGGACTAGCATACATTCACAATAATACAACTTTAAAATGGCTGTAATGTGTAATAAAGCACAAGTGTACATGAGACCATTAGAAGCTTCAAAGGTACTAGAACAGACATTACAACTATGGGTGAAATGAGTACAGTATGTTGAGTAGATACTAAAAATGAGAAAGTCCATATTAACCTAATGCTGTTAGAAAGGAGTTCCAATCAGTCAATTTAGGAAGCAAACTGAAATTCCAATATCAATTCCAATCTTCCACATACATTTGAATGGAATTCAACCCATCCCTGGCTCCAAAAAAACATTTCCTTGGAGTACAGCTAGAACTATAGACAGAAACAAACAAGGAAACAAGACATAAATAGATGAATTCAAACGCTTACCCGTGTGAGTGACTCAGAGAAGACGAGTCAAGATAAAAGTGATATTCATATGGTCAGCGGACTGAGAAAAGTAGGGTCCTGCTACACCTGCTGGCTCGGCTAAGTGAATTATACAGGATTGTTAAGGCGCTGAGCCCCAAACGAACTTCTAATCTGCTTATTTTTCTTTCTCCACCATTCCATGTCTACATTTACATTTACGTGATTTAGCAGACGCTCTTATCCAGAGCGACTTACAGTTAGTGAGTGCATACATTATTTTTCATACTGGCCCCCCGTGGGAAACGAACCCACAACGCTGGCGTTGCAAACACCATGCTCTACGAACTGAGCTACATCCCTGCCAGCCATTCCCTCCCCTACCCTGGACGATGCTGGGCCAATTGTGCGCCGCCCCATGGGTCTCCCGGTCACGGCCGACTACGACAGAGCCTGGATTCGAACCAGCATCTCTAGTGGCACAGCTAGCACTGCGATGCAGTGCCTTAGACCACTGCACCACTCGGGAGGTCAACACGTTAACACACACAAAATATATTTTATGTAATGTCCATGTAATGTCTTAATATGTCCTTATTTTTCTATTGCCCTTTCTTAACAAGCAAAGTACAAACAACTTTTTTTGCCATGAGCATTTTATCCACATAGGCTGCTGTGTAGTTTTTGACTGTAGCTTTATCTTCTTCACTAAGACTTGTTGTCAGTTAACACTTGAGTTGAATAAGAAAAAAACAACAATGGTCTTACAGATATCAGCTGTTTTTACAAATATCAGCTGTTTTTACAGATATCAGCTGTTTTACAGATATCAGCTGAGGTTAGTGTATAGGGGCCATGCAACCATTTCTCGACACATTGTTGGTAGTTCCTAGATAGCCAACTGTAGGTCCGTTTTTAAGGTTTAGGTGCTTTAGTCAGTTAGGATCCCACTTAAGTAGAGGGTTTGGTCGAACATGTTCAACTATGTACACTAACATAGAAACAAATGAATGTCTGCTCACTGTTTCTTTGTTTCCAGATGAGGTGATTTAATAAAGCTTCAGGCTTTATTCAAATCCCCTTCAAGGTAAATGACCATGTTAGCTTTATTAGATCACCATGTTTGGGAGCAGCAAAACAGTGAGCAGAGATTCCTTTTTTGATGTAGATCTTCTTTTTGTCAAGCTCCTGTTACTATTTACGATGTGCATAAACCCCCCCCACACCACTATTGAGAAGGACAAAATAGTAAAGGGTGGTCTCACAACCAAAGAGATTCAGTATGTCAATAACACACAGGTAACCTATTCTTCCCCCGTAATTAGAAAGGGCTAAACCTTCAGGTTCTTCGTTCTTACAGACCTAAGACGAGTTAGTGATGATTAACCCCTCTGTCTTTGATCCAGGGGACTTAAGTGTGCTTACCTGACCTATGACCCATAAGCCTTAACCCACCACCTGCTCAGGTGAAACTGCCTGGAAGAAAATGTGCATTATATTTGTTGGTAGAATGCTCATAACTTCCCCAATTTAGTTGGAGTTGGTATAAGCAGTGGCGATTTTAGCATGTAAATGTTGATGGGGCAAACTCCCCAAAAATGTTTTAGATGCATGCCAGCAAAGCTATTACACAACACAACACTAAACAATACATTAATTGCACTATAACAGTGACAAACGGTGCCCACAAACTGTTAGGGCCTACATAAAGCTGTCCCAACAGAGATGAGATGAGTAGTAGTGCAAGATATGTAAACATTATTAAAGTGACTGTAAACCTTATTAAAGTGACTAGTGTTCCATTTCTTAAAGTGGCCAGTGATTTCAATAGGCAGCAGCAGCCTCTAATGTGCTAGTGATGGCTATTTAATAGTCTGATGGCCTTGAGATAGAAGCTGTTTTTCATTCTCTCGGTCCCAGCTTTGATGCACCTGTACTGACCTCGCCTTCTGGATGATAGCGGGGTGAACAGGCAGTGGCTCGGGTGGTTGATGTCCTTGATGATCTTTTTGGCCTTCCTGTGACATCGGGAGCTGTATGTGTCTTGGAGGGTGAGTAGTTTGCCCCCGATAATGCGTTCGGCAGACCGCACCACCCTCTTGAGAGCCCTGCGGTTGCGGGCGGTGCAGTTGCCGTACCAGGTGGTGATACAGCCCGACAGGATGCTCTCAATTGTGCATCTGTAAAAGTGTGTGAGGGTTTTAGGTGCCAAGCCGAATTTCTTCAGCCTCCTGAGGTTGAAGAGGCTCTGTTGCGCCTTCTTCACCACACTGTCGGCGTGGGTGGACCATTTCAGTTTGTCGGTGATGTGTACGCCAAGGAACTTGAAGCTTTCCACCTTCTCCACTGCGGTCCCGTCGATGTGGATAGGGGCGTGCACCCTCTGCTGTTTCCTGAAGTCCACGATCATCTCCTTTGTTTTGTTGACGTTGAGTGAGAGGTTATTTTCCTGGCACCACCTCAGAGCACTCACCTCCTCCCTGTAGGCTGTCTCATCATTGTTGGTAATCAAGCCTGCTACTGTTGTGTTGTCTGCAAACTTGATGATTGAGTTGGAGGCGTGCTTGGCCATGCAGTCATGGGTGAACAGGGAGTACAGGAGGGGGCTGAGCACGCACCCTTGTGGGGCCCCAGTGTTGAGGATCAGCGAAGTGGAGATGTTGTTTCCTACCTTAACCAGCTGGGGGCGGCCCGTCAGGAAGTCCATGACCCAGTTGCACAGGGCGGGGTTCAGACCCAGGGCCTCGAGCTTGATGATGAGCTTGGAGGGTACTATGGTGTTGAATGCTGAGCTATATACAAGACCGCTGATAATCTCCCTCGATCTGGGGCTCCACGCAAGATCTCACCCCGTGGGGTCAAAATTATCACAAGAACGGTGAGCAAAAATCCCAGAACCACACGGGGGGACCTAGTGAATGACCTGCAGAGAGCTGGGACCAAAGTAACAAAGCCTACCATCAGTAACACACTACGCTGCCAGGGACTCAAATCCTGCAGTGCCAGACGTGTCCCCCTGCTTAAGCCAGTACATGTCCAGGCCCGTCTGAAGTTTGCTAGAGTGCATTTGGATGATCCAGAAGAGGATTAGGAGAATGTCATATGGTCAGATGAAACCAAAATAGAACTTTTTGGTAAAAACTCAACTCGTCGTGTTTGGAGGACAAAGAATGCTGAGTTGCATCCAAAGAACACCATACCTACTGTGAAGCATGGGGGTGGAAACATCATGCTTTGGGGCTGTTTTTCTGCAAAGGGACCAGGACGACTGATCCGTGTAAAGGAAAGAATTAATGGGGCCATGTATCGTGAGATTTTGAGTGAAAACCTCCTTCCATCAGCAAGGGCATTGAAGATGAAACGTGGCTGGGTCTTTCAGCATGACAATGATCCCAAACACACCGCCCGGGCAACGAAGGAGTGGCTTCGTAAGAAGCATTTCAAGGTCCTGGAGTGGCCTAGCCAGTCTCCAGATCTCAACCCCATAGAAAATCTTTGGAGGGAGTTGAAAGTCTGTGTTGCCCAGCGACAGCCCCAAAACATCACTGCTCTAGAGGAGATCTGCATGGAGGAATGGGCCAAAATACCAGCAACAGTGTGTGAAAACCTTGTGAAGACTTACAGAAAACGTTTGCCAACAAAGGGTATATAACAAAGTATTGAGAAACTTTTGTTATTGACCAAATACTTATTTTCCACCATAATTTGCAAATAAATTC